TGGATTCATTGCGATGTAGCCACCGCTGCAGATATGGACCGTGTCCGAAATCTGTCTTTTTCGTTCGCTCGCTAATCCCTGTGCAACAGATGCGATATCGCTCGCTCCATGGTGAGCGGTAAACTTTGAGGACAATAAACAGAGAGCAATAATATAATAATTATGGAGTGATTTCACACTTCCATAGTTGGTAAAAAACAATGTCTGGGCCCATCGGTTATCATCTGAAGATGAATTGGCCACTGGGGCAATGGTTCTAGTGGAGACAACAGATATCCAGRCCAAGACTGTGTCTTCCTTTCACAACACACCATTTACAGTCTGAGGTAAACGTTTACCTATGAAAGACCAAAAAGAGCATTATTTTATGTGCGTGTTTTGGTTATATGCATATGAATGGAGATAAATTAAATGGCAGACAGCAGATGTATTTCGGCCAATATGCTCCACTTCTTTTGCTCTACACACCCACTGTTTAGCTGTGGACCATCAAAGCCATGCTCAAATGTGATTGGTCAAATAGTCTCCATATTCACATGTAATATTTGTCTATTTCAAACACTGTAGGAACAGTAATGGCTAATATTTACTGTAACCTCATAAGTCGTTTGCTATGGGGAAAATACGGTCATACAGTTGAATCCAAGTTTGCTTTGCCTTTCTGTGTGGCATTTGCCTTTTCCCCGTGTCTGTGCAGGTTTTCTCAGCATTTGAGTCATCGAGGAGAACAGTTTAAATCTGAAAGTGGAATGATACCTTCTCTTAYGGCAAAATCAGGGAGAGATTGAGAAAAAATAACACTCAGGGAGCTCCTTACATTTTTTTTAAACCTTTTTTCTGTCTTCTGCCCCACAGTGCAGCTCTTAAACCCTCTTTCCTCCTGAGTAAGTCGACTTCAAAGTCCTCCTTAGGCCACTTAGGTTCCACATGTGAGTGAGTATTATATAAAACGTCAGAATCTAGCCTGCATGAGAAAACATATGGGTAATGGCAGTCATTTTCACCAAAGTTTATTTAGAAATTTATGGGGTTCCCATGCTTGTCACTGATTATGAGAGCCAAGCTTAAAACACCACACACAGAAATAGATTTCTCTAGAGGACGTCCTCCCATCTGTTAGTCTCATGATGATCGTGGTTAAAGTGTGATTCTCATAGACGCACTGGAAGGTTGAACTGTCTTTTACTGGTCAGCGTTTATCGTCTCAAACACGGAGTGAAGGAGAAGACCTGTGCCGTGCCAAAGATGAGTGGGGAATTAATGCGCAACACTTGCCAAGTGCGTTAGGCTGTCGGTCCTGGCTTGGAGGTGGTCAGGACCGACAAGGCAAATGCCAAATGAAGAACATATAAGTCCAATCTCATTAATTTCCCATTACACAGGCCAAGTGATTAGTTCCTGCAGCCTGGAAGTAATGCAACACTGCCACTCCCATCAGCAAGCAAAAAAACCAGGGAAGGGAGATTCCCACAAGTTGTCTTAATGGAAGTCCATGTCCTCAGGCCCTCATATCTTATATCTATATATGTATACTTTAAATGTAACCACCCACTCTCTGTTCTTCGCAGTCTCAAAGGCGAGCCAGCTCTTGTGTTTTTATAAGCAATACTTTTATGGAGACTGTTCTTTTTCACTTCAGTTACTTAGCAACTAAATGGCACATCACAGAAATAAAAACCTGAGCCCACATCGGGGGGAAAAAATTGCTGAAAATCAGAAGGCCATCACACTAATAGTTGTAATACATCTGTCTCCTCTGGCTTTTCAGGGTGGGAGCCTCAACCATAAGGTTTTCTCTCGACAATGACCCGTCAGCTCTGGTCAATAACACGTGTTATTTAAGCCACCAGAAGACCAAGTCACCGGACAAGAGACAACTGATTCATCACAGCGTAAATTTGGCCATTCATCAGGCTGCATGTCAGGTCACTGACATCCAAATTGACTGACTGAGTTAAACAAAGTTCAGACAAGATTTACTGTTGTTGTATTAGCTGCAAACCACTGAGGGATCGGTCTCAGATCTTCTCACAGTGCAAACCAAAAGGCAGTATTTAGTTTTGTGCTCTAATATTTGACTTGTGTGTCATAGAGTTTAACTGCAGAGGACACATAGAACAAACAGCACCTGTGCCATTAGCTTGTTTGAAATGTGACAAACCCATTTGGTAGATTTATACTGTCTCTTTCATTCGAGGATAAAGATGCACCAAGCCTCAGTGAGAAAGGCTGAAGGTTTTTTTCATTCCCATTAAAATTGCCAGGTGACCTTCTACAATGCACCTTTCACCAATTGGATCTATATTACTCCAAGTGTAAATTGAAAAGTTGTTAATATATATAAATTGGCTTTCCCAGACACAGTGAGTTTGAAGCACCTCTCAGCACCCCATGTTTTGCTCACACTTGAATGGGTATGAATTGCCCGGAAAAAAAAGGAATAATAATTCATGCCCTAAAGGCTTTTTAGTGCGCACACTGGCTTCCTTTAAAAAAAAGCTCCGGTTGTTCGGCTGAAAATACCTATACGTATATGCTCGGGCCTCTGGAAATGTGAAACATCACTTTAGACGCTGCATTGAATCAGCTCTGCAGCAACGTCCAGAGCAACACGCTGAAATGATTGTACAAGGATGAAATGTAAAAGGAAGCAGCACCTATGATTTTCTTTTCATTCCTTTAGGTTGGTTAGATACAGTGATCTTGATGCATGCTCTTTTAGCTAACAAATGACAGAACCTTTGCCTACACACAAAGCATATCACAGCTTCAACTTGCAGGTCAGGATCATTTTCTGGATGAAAGACAGAGGAACATGAGGAAATGAAGAGAAGTCTTTAGGTATAACCTGGTAGGAGATTAGAAGGAAGATAAATGAGCTGTCTGTGTTGCTCTGTTGGGGGGTGCTGATGGTGGGGAGTCGAACGGGGGGCAACACAGAAGCTGTGTACATTTACTCAACTCTCTGCTGTTGACTTCCATTACACAGCTTTGTGGCAGAAGGCAGCCATGACAAATAGTGTGGGAGTCAATGGGCTAATGGTATACACAACACAGTATGGGCACCAGCAGTATGCAGGGCCAGGAAGACACACTTCTGCCAGGGATTACAGATGAGTTAACAACTGTGTGCAGCTCCGCAGCCTTACAGGTGCTGAATAGATAAGTAAGAGAAACACAGCTGAAAACATACAAGGATGCATCTCAAAGCATCTCTCTGTTCTGGGGTATTGTTATAGTTAAAGGCCAGAGTAGCTCAACGGGGCAAAGGTATGAGGACTGCACTGGGGACAAGCTCTGTCTTATAGATGCTCACAGACCTGTTTCAAAAATGCAATTCATGAGTACTGCTGAGACGCTGCATTACATTGTATACCTTACAGTGTGTTTTCATGTTGCATATCAGAGCTTGCACGTGGCAAAATTTGTGAAATTGTCCCCTTGTCAATTAGTTTTTTGTCTGCAATAGGATTGGATTCAGTCAACGTTCACTGAACGTTACACCTGGTTGAACGCGTTGATTTGGCAACACAGTGACATCAAACCCCCTAAAAGCAGATTTAAGGGAACAAGAGACAGGTGATAATTCCCTTTATCCAAATAACATTTCTCAGATTACACAAAGTCATTTCACCCATTCATAAATAAAACAAATAGTGAGTATGAAACACTAGCCAAAAAAATCCAGATGTTCCAGCTGACTGCACATTTACTACTGACACCCATAATACAACAATACAAGGGAAATGTTATTATTCTGTACAAACTATTACTTATATTAGTATATAGTATATTAGTAAAAAATATAATCTAAAGATCTTGCATTGCAATGAAATGCAGACAAGCCGAATGATAAAAAACCTTTCTGAAGTCATTTCTATTTCGTCCAAAATTGATAGTTTAAGAATGAATAACCCCACATGATTGAAAATCACATAAAATTGATACAACTTCACATACACATTACATCAGAAGGCAGCCATCACAAAACTAAGCAGCAGAGCTGCCTGTTATAAATATTAAGGGAACAACTTATTTCACTGTGGGCTTTGACTGTGTAAAAATATTTTGAAAGTCTGTGTGGACTTTTTAACAAGCAATACAACTGAGAAAAAAAAAGAGTTTCTGTTTTTACACAGGGTCGGATCCACGTCTCTAAAGGAAAGCTTGAAAAGCAAACTGTGTTTTTTCAGTTTTCTGGTACCAGATTAAACTAGTGGCCTGGTGCGTTGCAATGGTGATGACTCCTGAACATTCATCCGCGTCCTCATCCCAGTCCATGAAATGTGGATTTGAAGTTCCCGAGGAATTCTCATCCCCTGAGGACTTTGATTCATACCAGAGTGTATTCGCTGGGTGAGCTGAGGTTCTATTGTTTGTTGCTATTTTATTATTCATTGCGCTTGTTTCAAGTCTGACTGCTAAATATTTATTCACAGTCCAGCTCTCTGCTGCTTGAGACGAAAAAGTGTTGCAGACTTCAGTGGACAGCTGCTAGTTCAGGGGTACACTCATCATTTGGTAAAATTACATACTAGAAACATATTTTTACTGAATTAATAACACCTTCTCTTACACACAAAACATTTTTTCCCCCAATATTTATTTTGTGTTAAATAATGGACATTTAGCATGAAAAACACCATACGTATTGCCAGACCTAACCATGAATAACAAGACTGCATTATAATAATTACATCATACAGAAGATACAGTGATAGCAAAACATCACGAACATTGATAACCTCACATTTAAACGAGTTCTGGCTCAACTGACAGACAGTTACATATTTTATGCTATTATAATGTAGCACAAGCAGGCACCACATGTGGTAAAATAAAAAAAAGAATTCAGCAGACCTATAGAGACTGCCTTAGTAAACATTAAGCGCATGTAGACGCACAAACATGGAGAGCTCCACCCTCAGAGGTTTTCCAATTCTAAAAAGAGCTAAGTATGTGATTTCATCACCTCATCTCTGTGCCCACCTCACTATTTCTCAGTTTGTTTACTTGTAGGTTTTTCTCCCTTAAAGCTGAGACTTAAACTTGACATTCACAATAAAACTTTCGATATTCCCTCAGAAGTCTTTAAAGAAGCATCTCGAAAAGAACAGCTCTTGCATACTCTTCCCAAACTTAGAGGAGAAAGAAGAGCAGAGAAATCTACAACGCCCCCTTTTTACAGAACTTGTCAAGCTGAGAAAAAATACCAACATGAAGAAGAACAGATGACAGCAGATTCTTTGACAGCTCACATCTTGGAAACACCCAGGTGCAGAGCCTGTGGGCCAAATATTTCATTCTGTGCCTGAGGCAGAAATCATTCTTTATAATTATGAATTATTCTGCAAGGGAACAACATAAAAAAAATCCACCAGAGGCGCATTTTACTTGCAGCCATCCTTCATGATGCCATTATATATTATTGAGAAAGAACTCCTTATTTACTTATGAGACCTTTGTCAAACTTGGCTGCTGGCTGAAAATCTGATACCTCATAAAAGTCAACTTTTCAGGAACTAAGAATTACTTCTATCATTTTTAGGTAAGGAGTTTGGAAGCTTGAGGTGACCTTGAGTTTCCTTGGAGAGAGTGATGCTTCATTAAAAAAGTAAATACTACAAATCAGAGGTTAACTAAGAGCAAAATCATAATGAGCAGCATGAAGAGCTTGAAACCTCTTGTTTCCTTAAGCTGCAAAGATTACCCATCTCTCTCTTTGCCAGTCAATGCCTGTGCTGCCCTGCATCAATTCTGCTGCCTGTTCAGGCCTACCTCACCCCAACACCCAGCATCCACCTGCAGGCTCCAACATGGAGTCAGTGTTTGCAGAAAGGTTAACAATGATACTGCGGTTTATATTTTGTGCTTTCACTGTCTTTGTGCACTGAGATCATGAAAATGCTCCGTGTTGTGTGCGGTTTCCTCATGAGCTGCCTCAAGCACCTAATTGGGTTCTTATTGAGGGAGGTAGAGATAAGGGGGGAACCAACTGTGTGCACGGTCCCTTGCCTCCATCTCATTCCAATTTCAATTTGCATCATGTATTGTTCTCAAGACAGGGTCAGAATTGGGTTTCTCACCCCTAGAATAGCATTTTAACTTGTTTATTAGGAGAGTGCATACTTGCAACAGAAATAAGTTTGTTTGGCAGCCCGCTGTTTGTTTCAGGATACATTTGCTGCGTCTTAATTCGTGCACTTCCCTATTAACACTTGTGTTTGAGTGTAGGATGGCAAAAAGTTTAAATGGGGAAGCTGGACATAAATTATCACCCTCAGTGGACGCCATCTTGGCCACATAACAGAGAGAGGGAGGATACATCAGCACTAGCAGCAGCATAATTTCTACAACGACCGAAATAGGGGGCACACGTATTAAAGTTAAACAGAAAATAGCTGCTCTGGGAGTGGGTGCTTTGCTCATTTAAATAATGCATGTCTAAACCTGCTGAGGTGAACAGCAAAAAAGATATAAAATTCAATAAAAACAGTACATCTTTAGGAGAATGTCTCAGTATCTCTGGGAGGCTTTTACCATAGTTTTAAGAGAGCAGGGCTACGTTTTTGCACTGTTCATTCATAATGCACATAAGCAGAGACTGAGATTTATTCCGATACGATGTAAATCTACAGTACATTGAATAAAAGACACCATAAAGTTTGAATTAATAGGGTTATCATCATTATTCCTAATCAGCTAAAGTCATTTGACATAAAGCTTGCATTTCATTAAACTACAGGCTCTAATTTGATTATTTCCTTAAAATGTATAGAGTTAAAGTAAAGTATACAGAATTGATGGAAGATAATAGGCTGCAGAGATAGTCAAATAAAATCTACATAAATTCACAGGTTCAGCACCAAACGCTGGCAAAGACACAGATAATTACTCATCACCTGGAAGCCAGCAGACAAAGTGTTTACATGGAAGGCCCAGTCAGGGATGTTTTTGCGTGCCAACTGTTCGTCTGTGAGCCTAACTTGCCGCCACCTATGCTGCTGCCTGTAAACTGCTCTTGGACAGTGCCTGCGTCTGCAAATCTTCGCTGTCACCCACACGCTATTGTCATTCATGTATTCGTACGCCTCCGCAACAAAAAGGATAAAAGGGTGGTGGTGCAGGGATGGGGGAGTGCAGGGCGACGGGAGGACATGAAAAAACAAACTTAAAAGTGGTTGGGGATGCGGCACTAAGCTTTCATAGTAATACTTTTATCCAATGTATGCAGGATAAAAGTATTACATCACACTGCTTAAAACAAATCCAGGACATTTTTTTGTTGCAGATAAAATTTGGATGTTTTATAGCTATTTGCTGTAACAATATCATGTTCATTCTTTGGCATAATTCAATATTTGTCATCTTATCTACAACGCTTGAATCAAAAAAACTGCTCTATGTATGTTTCAAGTGGCATTTAAAGGGAAACTTGAGTTATTTCTTATCTGGGCTTAATTCCTAATGGGCCGTGCAACTCTGGCAAAAAATATGTATGAATTTTACATAAATTATTTAAATTGATATCCAACAGAAATACATTTGCTCTCACTGTCCCTGTGTGAGATGGAAAAACACAAAAGCAGCAAATTTAGTTTTTGGCTGGAAGATAAAGGGGTTCTTACAGTACAGCAATCAGAGTCTGTAAGTAATCAATTTACTTTTTTACAAATGATTTCTGGTCCTCTTTTCTGGAATTTGCAGCACATAGCATGAGACATATGATCAAGGCTATATGTTTCTCCCTTGCTAGCAAACAATATATGACTTCTTATTCAATAAAAACATTGGTATGAAGCTGGTCCGGAGGAGCCGAAGCAACGTACAGCATGAGGTCAGGTTGTGTCAGACAATCAGACCGTACAGTGCTTGCACATCAATCGTGAGCTTTGGCTTCCTCAGATGATTGACTCGTACAGTGTGAGGTGGAATTTAACAACAACATATCTTAAGTCCCAGCGTCTTCCCAGCTTAACCAAATATTGAGCTCAGTTGATGGTTACCAACATTTCTTGAGTCTTTTATTAGTGCAAAGTTAGCATGGTCCATAGTAAGAGAGGTCAGAGGTTATTTTTCCAGCATGGCTGTTAAGCATATGACACCACAACTTGAAAACATAGAAAAATGTACCAGTTTATATGCTAAACTATCTATTCATCTCGTGGCTCTATTTTCAAGAACAAACATTGTTGTTGCTTTTGTTTAGTTATTAACCCAATTTATTTTACATGTTTTTGCTTTACCATTTTTCTTTTTTTTCCCCGGTTCCCCTTTTAGCACCCTTTGAGCTACTTGCTTTGTTTAAAGGTTCACTATCAATCAAGGTCGTTATTATTATTATCAAAGAATTGAAGGGGCTCAGAGAGAGAGGGAGGGGAGACATTTGCTGTCAGCTTCACAAAGGCAAAGCCATGAGGTTCGCGCTGGGGGAGAGGATCCCTGTGAAACACCTCGTTAGTCTAAGCCTGGAAACAGGGGCTTTGTACTTAGATAATGCTTGGAATAATTGGCAGCACTGCAGTGGAAGGCAGAGAGTAGAAAGACAAAGATATTGGAGCAGAAAAGGTGTGTTTGACTAGAGCACTTCTCTTGTGTCATTGGTAGGAGGGGAACTGGAGCAACAAGCAGGTACAATCAGCTTTTAATGGGTGGAATATGGGCACTTTTTTACTGCTAATTGACACATTAATAAGAATATTAATATTAATGTCTGCATCAGCATTCAAAAACTTTTTGTAGCAGGCACAGGCAGGAGATTTTAATTCCATACAGGCTGGATCAGCAATAGAAAATTGCCTGATTCTATAAGCCTGGCCTTCATATTTTCCGCCTGCCAGGATAAGGCTAAATTAAAGTCTCATATTTATCTTCAAGATGATTACACAGTGTAAAGATGCACTGAGGGTCAAAACATCCCGGCATTACTAAGAGGCCAACATAATCCCCCAAATACAGTAGATTAAATGTTTTTGGTGTTGTAGACCTGCAGGAAAGAAAAGAAAAATACCACAATAACCCTCTCTATCACAAGTAGATAAGGCTCTATCACAGGTAAGCAAGAATTGTAATTTCTTTGTGTTCAAATACATGAGAGCAAACTTTCCAAAGTTCAATAAAATAATTTGAGAGAGAGAGAGAGATACCCTGAATGGACGAAGGCGAATCCAAACTGATTTGTTAGAGTCGATGATTCCTCAGTGTTCAACAGTCCACCTGTCAGAGAAAAAACCTTTGGCACAGTCAGAACATAAAGACAGTGTTTCCATGTATGCAGGATTTGTCTTTTCAGTGTTGTTTCCATTAAAATGTCTGTCTCAGCCAGTGAACAACCCACCATGCTGAAGCCACACAAAAAGCACAGGCACTTGATGTTCGGTTCAGGGTGCAACAAAGTGGATGCTGCCAGTTTAAGAGAAGAGCGTTTCCCCGCCATCACATTCTCTAATCATGCACACAGAATTTGAAATAGACCTTGAAAAAGATCTCATGAATGAGGGAAGGGATATTACTCAGCGTATGATTCAGAACATAGTAATATGAAGAATGAGAACAGGAACTTGAACGGTAAATTGAAAAAAACAGATGGTGCACACAGTAAGCGCTGTCCGACAACCACTGTTGTGACCAGCCAGCTCTCCTCCGGGCTCGTTCATCAGGTGCCTGCGGTGCTGACGGTGGTGTAGCTGATCTTGGACATGGAGGTGGCCATCGTCGTGGCCATGGAGGTGGCAGTGAAGCCATCTTCTCCTGCTTCTCTCTTCCTGCAGCAGAAGCACTTTCGGCAGAGCCGATTGCGGCAGCAGCCGGCAAAGGTAGAACACAGGGCCTTGCGGAAGCGCGTGTTCATGAAGCAGTAAATGATGGGGTTGACACAGGCAGAGGAATAGGAAAGCAGGTGGATGAAGGAGATGGGTGCTCCTGAGAGGGCTCTGGAGGCTGACCTCAGGTCAAAGGCTTTCCAAGTGTTAGCTGAGTACAGCGGCATCCAGCAGATGAAGAAGAGTGCTACGATCACCATCAGCATGCGGATGACTCGCTTTTTGGCCTGCAGCTTGGCCTCCGAGGTGTTACTGCGGGCTCGCTCAGACTTGGCCTGGGTGGCGCCAGACGGGGTAGAGAGGGTGGGGAGCTCCACAGCAGAGGAGGGTTTTTTAGCCACCTGGACGTAGCAACCATCGTCATCATCGTTCGAACCTGCCGCAGCCCTGCCTACACCATTTTTTTGGCCTGTGGAGGGTCAAGCCCAAAGTGTTAGTTAGTGGCAGCTGGATTAAGAAGAGGGGAAATCAACTACAGCTACACTACAGGGGTTTGTCATTAATTCTCTTCCCAAAGTCTTGTTTTCTTCCACTGAAACCAACTATTCATATCCAGTGGGAACCATAATTACTTCATACCTGAGTCATTCAAAGAAATTACAGTGTAAATCATAATATTGCTGATGCACCAAGAATCAAGCTTTGTGGAACCACAGAGAAAATCTTCGTTAAAAGTTACTTAGAACCACAGAGTGGAAGGAAAATCAGTCGAGAACAGCAGCTGTTGGGAACTGAATCGTGAAGTCTATTGATTAAAACATCAAAAACAACAGTATCAAAGGCATCGTTCACAATATGGTTGGGACATTAATTATTCATCTGTTTGTATACAACCCTTTTCAGTATGTTTCCTTGGATTGGAGTGTTTGAGTTAAGAATAAAAATCAAAATCATTCAGCATATATCAAATATTAAAAACAGTTTCTCAGCCAAGGATGGAAGTTTGTTATTTTTCTGTATCTGTATCAGAGAGAAATAATAAATGATGTTTAGAGATTAACATTCGTTCCTGAGGCCTTTTTTTAGATTGTCTCAACCTTGATGAATCATACAGTTGACTGGACTCCATGGAAACTGGTTGTCCTCCTGCATACAGCACTTGTAGTTCACCTGAAGGGACCATATTTCTGCTGCAAAGCCATGGAGAAGTTCCAGACTTGAAAAGAAGTAGCACAGGCTTTTTGACAGGCTGAGAGGAGGAGTATTTTTGGTAAGAGGTGCAGAACCTGCAGGTTCATCTACTAAGTTCTAACTTTACAGATATATGATTTTATGTGATATTAATATGTCTACATCGACTAAGTATGCACACACTGATTTCATATTTTAGGGATTTTTACCACACTTTTATTTAATCCAGTTTTTCCTCTCTTTCTAATGTGATTCCCTGCAGCTTCACACATGTCTATAAAGAGTGAAAAAGATGTTTTCATCTCCAGCATGCGTTAAATCAAAGTGAGCAAAAGGCTTTGGACTGAATCCATGATGGATCTCACCGGAGGTCTCCGTGTTCTGGCCCAGCTCAAACTGCATCCCTCGGAAGAGTTCTCTGGAGATCAGACCGTATGCTATACTCATCACCACTCCCGGGATGAAGAACAGAGTGAACAGCAGCAGCACATACCTGAAAAACAGCCAGAATGGAAGGAGGGAGCCGTCAATAAAAAAAGTGTATCTGAGTGCATCTGGGTTGAAACAGCTGAACCAAACCAATCTAACGCTCTGATTTGTAGAACACTATCTGCAAACTTACTATTAAATAACTGTTTTTCTCTACATCGTACATCTTCATGCATTTGTAGGTACTGTGCTCAAGACCCTGCAGATGGCTGACCCCTCCATAACAGTTCTCCTTTCCCCTGTGCTGTTTGGCACAAGATACTGCGAAGACCAGGCCAGTTCTGCAGCTTCTACCTGAAGCCTGCTCAGTGGCCTGCAGGTTAACCCTCCTCTACACTTGCTCTGTCTCTATCTTTAGAATACATACATACATACATATATACATACCTTGTACATCATTGCAACTCCTGATTTACAAAGTCAAAGTGCAATATTGTCAGCAAAACTGCTCATTAGGCCACAAAAGGCATTAAGCTCCTGTCAATATTTTATTATCATATATTAATCTGCTGCATGTATAAAAAGTGCAATATTTCCCCATAAAATATAGTGTGAGAAATGTAATGTGTTTTGTTAAATTCTATAATTGGAACCATATTTTAAAGTAGCCAAGAAGTGCAAATCAAAACAACAAATTGGAAAACACAGCAACGATGGCACCTCGATGGCAAATAAGGGACACAACATTAACTTCTAACACAAAAGGGCTGTACCTGCTATCGATGAGGACTGTGGCTGATTGAATGTTGTGTTCTTTGTCCAGCACCAACGGTGAATGTCACTGTGATTTCCCATTTGTCGTAATAATTTGCACTGCAGGGCCACAGTAATATTTATTCATTATATATTTAAAACCTTGCATGGTGCAACATTTGCTGCATCATTAATTTCATCCTCTTGTGCTGAATGTTATTGATTAATGATTTTGTTTCACTTTGTCAATGTCCTGCTTTTATTTTTAACTCAGATGGAAATAGCTGGCTCTTAAGATGCTGAATGATTCACTATGTTCTCTCTACTCTTCCAGTCACATTAGCACAGTATCCCAACATGAGTGCACATTAGGTGTGCAAGGTTAGCAGAGTTAGGTCGACGAGTTGGATCAGTGAGCAGCTGCAGGTTTAACACTACAACACACTTTCTTGAAGAGGGTGGTGACCATCCTGTTTAACCCAGGAACAGTTTTCAACACAACCTTAACAGTGACCTGTTTTCATAGTGACAGTTGACACAACGACACAGTGCATATTGACACATGGCAACAAAGGGACATCACATGAGCACAGCTTGACGTACTTCACACAGCGCACATGGTTACTTATTTCATAACTGTAAAAGATGTAAAAAAAATTTTAGAAGCCATTTGCTGCACAAAATGATTTCTTTACCAAACAAACATGGATAAATATGCTGGAATATAACTCTCTACAGCTTGGGGCTGTGTACTCTATTCCTTTTTTTCCCTCGCACAGAAAGAATAATGACCATGGCTCCCTCGAGTGACTGGATTGATGACACCTCAAAGAAGAAGTTGTGAACTGAGAAAAGAGCAACAGAGGCGATTTGTCAACCATGTACAAAAATCCAAAAGGGCTCAGTTCCTCTCAGCACCGTCTGTCAAACCAATCAGTGTGTATTCTATCCTTCAACAATATAATCTGGTTTGCAAATGAGTTGCATAAGAGACTACTTGGTATTACAAAAGTATAGATCAGTGTGTCAATTGAATAGGGTTAGGGTGAGTGCAATTCTTTTAAAAGAGAAAACTAGAGAGTGAGCCAAGAATAAATAAGATAAAAAACTGCACCGTTGTCACTTTGATCGTATCAAACCTTTACCATCTGTGGCCACATGTCCCTTTTGATTCCCCATAATCAGAGCATGCTCTTCTCAAGCACCGCTGTCTGCCTTGCACATCAGTCACCACATGAAAGCGTCAGCAGGGAGAAAGAAGAGATGGGGTTTCATTATTCCTCTAATATTCTAATGACTTCATGGGCAACCCTGTGAACTCTGCGCAGCCGCTCTCTATCACTTTTCATTTCCAAAAGACGGCTTCAGTCGGAGTCTCTGATCAGCTGCCTGTTTGATACTGAAAGTCTGTTGGACAAAGGCTGTCGGGAGGTGAACATGTTGGAGTGTGGGAAAACACCGAATGAAAAGCTGCTGGTGCGTATTTGAGCGTGTTTTAGTCTGAAACCCAGATAGATGGAGCTGAAGCAGTTGAAGCCCATGAAAAAAACTTATGGCGCTCCCTCTTTTCACTCTTCACATAAGTGATTATCACCTGGAAAAGGTTGATATTAATCCTCAAAGAAAATGTTATGCATGCGTTACACCTTTCTGCAACATGTTCATATTCTTATCCTAAATTTCTGCTACAGTTGTTTGTACGCTGAGTTCGTTACAGTCAGATCCAATTAATTAAATCTAAATGAACTCAAGAAAAATGACATTCAATCCAAGTGGTAAGTCTAAACATATGTAGATTTATATATGTATCATAAGTATTCCTATCAAGAAAACTAAACCGGTTATTTCTGCAATATTGAATCAGAGCTTTATAGCATTTCTATTATTATAAAGCTTTATATAAAGTGTCTGTGTTGAAAGAAAAAGCACCATAGCATAAAACACAAAATATCACAGTGAGTCTTCAGAGGGAAGCTGTGATCTAGGATATATTTTCTTAATGTTGAGCTTTTTTGATGTGAAATATATCTAAAATGCTTTAATAATGCAGGCCAATTGGTGGCTGGGTATGCAGTGTGAGCTGTATAATTTAAATGGGATTTTATATTGGACCATAAAATGCGGTTGAGACATTTAAAGGCCAAAATGAAAGTCGGCAAATATACAGTATGTGCTTCAGCGTAGAAATGACAGAATAGATGACCTGCATAGACGATCATACAACTGAATATTATACAATACAATATTACATTTGATCGTATTAAGATGTCATCATTAAGTAGTACATTGATTTGTAAGTGAAACTGGATGAAATCATCGACGCACACCATCACAATTATAAAACTTGAAAATGGTCAAATTTGTCATTGACTTGACAGAATTGCTTCATTAACCACTCTATGGATCTTGGGTGCCTCAATATCATCTGCTCATCATCTCAGGCTGTGATTTCAGTCTAACACTGGATGCTTCAATAACTCTATCGACTGCTTCATCTGGCTCAAAAAAAGGTACCATTTCCATAACGGTGAGAGGGAGATGAAAGAGGTCTTACCTTCTCACAGTCTTAGTTTTAGCCCCTCATTTAAGAGTAATTTAAAAGGCAGTCATGATGGGTGAATAGGAAACTGTGAAGTTAAACTTGAAAGGTCCTCGTGCTCTGTGACATGTCTGGACTTTTGTCATCCGAGCTTCGGCTTTCTTCCTCCTCAACCGCGCAGACTAATTAACTGGTCTCCCACTGACTTGTCTTTCCCAGTGCAGCTTAAGAGTTTGATGGACAGCCAGAGAAAACAGAATCCTTCAGAGAGTTTGACCACAAAAGGCTGTCGAGTCGAGCGTTGTCCTCGCCGTGTTTCGGCTTCTTCACCTATGTTCGAACATATCCATCTATTTGGGGTTCTTTTTTAACAACAAAGCAGCACTTATTGGTATTCAGAGGGCGTGTATATTGGACAGATGACTTTCTGACGCAGAGCAATCCACACTGTAGCTGCAGTAATCATTACTCTGCTGACCTTTTGCATTAGCTTTACTCTTTCCTTTATCTCAGCATGCAGTCGGGAGCCTAAGAACAATCATTATAATTTAAATTGATGGCAAAAGGGTTAGGGGTAAAATGCATCCTTGCAGCACCACTATCTTCAGAGGTACAGTGCTCTGTAGCTGTCAAATGATGCAACCTCTACCTCCTTTATTTCCCCAGCTCCTCAATCCTCTGCAATGACCCCTGCTACGCTAAAACCTGATCCATTTCAAACTCTCTCTAATTGAGCCTCATCAGGAGCTGCCTACTCACCTTTTTCAGTTTCACACCTAATGATTTCATAAATTTTTCAGACACCACGCCAGTAACCACTTTTATGGCTTCTGCTCATGGGCTCATTCCAAAAATGACCTTTTCTCCATCATTTTTATACCTTTTATCTCACTCATATTTCCCTCCACAAACTCCTGACTTTCCTCAAAGGTAATAATTAGACAATTTGGGTAATACACTTATTTCACTGCACCCCAATAATAGGTAACAAGAGACTGACTCCATTTTCTAATTAGAAACTCATGTCATCCAACCAATGGTTAGAAAAAAAGCCTACCATCTGTGTATTATTTAAACTGCTAAGTGCACTTGAATGCAAAAATACATTTAATAAGTTCTATGCTAATTGATTTGCACTACAAACAAACATCATAAGTGTGGATTGGATAGCACAGACGCAATCACATGCTTGTTCACTTTATTGCTCTGACAGAGAATTTGTTAAAGAAATTGGAGATGTTGCCAAAATGACTAAATCAGCATGCATGTTTATTTTATCAATAGATAGTGTCCCAATTGCTTCAGCAAATGAAGTTAATATCTACTTGTCATGGTAATGCATATGTAAATGACACAATTGGACTGAATGTAAATCAGTATTTCTCCACATATTTAAAGGCAGAGCCATGCAGACTGTATTCCCTTCACAAGTTCACTCCCTCCATTTATCTTTCACTGGTAGCTGCTGTGGTTGAGGAAGCATGACCGGCTAATTATTGTCATGCATATGAAACCTGTGAAGTTTTCACTGACTTTCGTCTGTTCTAAACAGATTTATTGCTGTAAAACCGCAAGCAGGCCTCATCATCAAACACATCACCAGTCAGATGGGTTCAGAGAAACTAATGAATGGATTTTGCTGCTTGATAATTTTTGCTTTGTCAACAAAGCGATACGTCCCAGTACTCACCAGGTCTGTTCAGCTTGCTTACTGGGCCAGTCCAGGCGACACATGTGGCCGACGGTGCCGTTGGCCTTGGGGAAAGTCTTTATGTTGCTGAACACCGGGTACGGCACCATGATAAGCAGAGACACCACCCATGTGGCGGCGATGACACGGTAAGCGTGGGAGCGAGTCTGCCATGCACGGGACTTCAGCGGGTTACAGATGGCGCTGTATCTCTCGGTGGCGATGGCCACAAGGCTGAAGGTGGATATGCTGACAGAGATCCCTGCAGATAGGAAAAGGCAGTACACTCATTTGCATATTCCTGAGTTCATTTTGTTGTATTTGCATACAGTCCAGTCACAGCCGGTTTCGACCCTTAGTTGTTTGTTTCTCTCCTACTCTTTCCCAAAGAAGAAGCTGGTTTCATTGATGCGTTTTTCTTTTCCTGTTGACAAAATTGGGTGGTAATGTGACTGAAACGCAGCCCACTTTCCAAGCTGCTGCTCCGCTCTGCTCTGCTCTGCCAAAGCTCCGGATTTTATGACCTGACATCGTCATCTGCCAAAATCAGCAAACATATAAGTCATGCTGCGTTCCTTTGTAAAATGATCACTCAGAGATATTAACTTTTATCTTTATTATTTCAGTGTGAGTTCTATCTCATCAATCTTAAAAACTGCTGTTCTTATTCTTTAGTATGTATGGCCATGTTGAGGGTAACTCTAATGAGATTCAAAATGGCATTTAAAAATTCTGACTTGATAAGTGGATTCTTCCCTGGATTTATATGTTGTTACATCCATCAGCGTCACTGTGAATTCATTGCTGCTTTTCATTGTTGAGTTACTGACTTTATCCAACCGATGTCTCACATAGTAATTCTAAATTCTTAAACTCTCCTAACATGTGCACAGGACATTAATGCGTGTCAGCTATTTATCAACAGCACAAAATACAGCAGTGGCAGTTATTTACAAAGAGAATGACAAGCATGAACAATACAAGAACGTCCAAGTTCACCTTTTGTGCCATTAAATCAAACAAAAAGCAAACAGGTCTATCACCACCACTTTGTCAGTGGGTGTAAGAGGAATAGAAGACATATCTTATAATCCAAGGACACTGTCTCTGTGGGGTTCAACACAGGTCAAATTCATTTCCAGACAATCCAAGGCCAGGCAAGTGGTATTTGCATGTATGAATATGCATAATCTGCAGAGGGGGAGGAAGCTCACTGAGAATCCCAGAATCCTGATGATGAGACAAATTGCATTAATAATCCCATACCAGCAGCTACAAAGGGAGCCCCCGGGAATTAATTCACCACGGTCATCCTGTATGGTTGCACAAGGCAGCGTCCTCAATCCACCATTTCATTGTCACATATTTATCCCCATTCATTGTTCCTGCAGGACAGATGAGCATATCCTGTCTGAGCCATGGCTTCGCATCATCTTTCACAAGAGGAAGTCATTATGCATACCCCTTGGAGTGCATACGACCATGGCCGAATTCAATTTACAGGAACCATATTAAGTATTTGAGTGGTGGACGGCCCTATGGCTCAGTCGAGAGCAGTTTATCGTCCACTCTGCCAGATCAACCTTTTCTGATGGTCGTTGCTGCAAACCAATGATACAATCTTTGGCCCTTTCAATAGTGAAAAGGATTTTGTGTTTATTGTAAGCTCTAAAATATTAAAAACTTCAGATCTGTGAATGCCAACCTAGAGAAGAAAGAGATATTTAGCATGGGATATGATGTGGAGTCTGATAGAAGCGGAGGACGGTTTTATCTTATGCCTGTGCTTACAGAACAAAGGAGACTACTTGTGCAGATACTTCAGAACAAAGAGAACATCATCTTCACAAATAGACATCTGAATGCTTTTTATGCTCTGGGAGCAGTCGGAGAGGCTCTGTTGTGCAATGTTATAAGTATATGAGCTGTTTGTGAGAAGGGGGATTTTATTATTGCTGCTGAGACGCACAGTCAATTCACACATGGATGGAGAGATTTGAGGGAAGCACACTGCATATAAACAGCATGAGTGCCTGACATGTTTTTAAAACAAGGTTAGTTATTGCATCTTTGCCCACTCATTTGGTCAGGGCAGGGTTAGAGATGTGTATTCATGTGCTTAGAAAATCCAAAAGATATTTGTTAGGATTTTCCACCTATTGTTTTAGAATCAGAGTCACAATTTTGGCTTTTGTCAAAGAGGTGTCACTGTGTGTGTAAAGTCAGCCTTCCTGCAAATCGCCGGATGGAAAGGCCGCCCACTCCTTCAATGACACCTTCCTGCCTGACTTCTGATCACTTGTACACTACCGGTCAACGCTCTGGTCAAGCAGAAGGAGGTGGGTGGCACAGTTAACACATGCAGATCTGAACAGTGCACCGGCACTGCACGAGTCTCGCACAATAACTCTCTCACACCCCCACGTCTCTTTCAAGCGCTGAGCACAGACAATGAGAGACCCAATCACACACAGGGGGGTTTTCTTTTGTTGACGCTTGAAGGCAGTCACGTCCAGCCACAGCACCAGCTCATACCGACTGTGGAACTGAGGAACCCAGAGATGTGGGAGATCTTTCTCTTTCCCAGCACAGTGCAAAGGATGAATAATCAAAAGAAACAATAAAAATAATGAGCAGGGGAAGAAAAAAAACTAAGCGTAGTACTTCTGGAGAATGTTTTGCAAAGTAAACAGACAAAAAGCAGGATCTCAAGAAAAAGGACTTTGCATAAGAGGATATTAATAACAGTAGATGATTTAGAGACACATCACCAAGGGATTAAGTTTTAAAGGGAATCGTTTTTAAGAAATGTGGGACATAACGCCTCAGAAAACTGCAATTTATATGAATTGAACAAACAAGATGTGGTATGTTACACTTTTAAGAAATTATTTTGAAAAATTACAATAATTTAGCAAAAAACAAGGAATTTTTTTTAGCAGTCAGGTCTGTTTTAGGAACATGAATGAAAGATTGATACAGTCTTCGTCAGGCTTAATTGCCTCCTACCCCACAGGCTTGAATTGACTCATTATATTTGGCAGAGCAAAATTCTCTATACCATTTTTCAGTGCACGGATACATGAAGATGAGTAGCTCAGCCTATAGAGCCCCATTAGAGGGTGAAGCCTGTGTGAAAATAGAGCCACATCACTCAATTGAAAACCACACAGATTTTCAAATGAGTGATCTTTTCAAATCCTACACTTAGAAAGACTGATGGCGGGTTGTGTACATTCGTACTGAAGGGGAAATGCACTTCCAGGTGATGAATGGTGCTGATAGTCGTTGGATTTAAATTAATGGCACAGCTGCAGGTAGTCGCAGGCACCTCTAAGAAATTGAACATATTGTCTAAGGGATTAGATTTTTGTCCTGGAGCATGAGGCCCTAATTCATCAACCCTTTCAACATTTCAGTCCAGGTCCACTTGACCATCTGTTTTATAACTGCCAGGGGAGGGCAACCCTGATCTGAGGTCAGCACTTGTGATGGCCCAATTTGTTTGGCCTCGAAGGAAGAATTATGGAACAAATCAAGAATATCTTCCTGTGTACGTCTGTTCTAAGCACGTCTATACTCTCCATGTAAAAGGGCAGACCTTAATATTGAAAGCTGTTCTACCAATAGATACTTGTCACAAGCTGTAAATGTTTTCCAATAAAGTGTTAATCATAAAAAAGAATATCATGCTGTAGTAAAACACACTTTAAAATATAGATCATGCTCTCCCATGCATTACAGTATTTGGTTGTATACCACTTGTTTATGTGAATTCTAACTTCTAAATTAAAACATCAGTTGCAGCTAAAATGCACCAATGAAACCCCACAAACCTCCTTTTCATTGTGCATATGCAATAAATACACGGAGGAACACAGTTCACCCAGCAACCCGGTATACCCGGTACATTTTCTATGTGTGTATTAAAGGAAGTGGATAGTCTTTTATTGTATGCATGTGTCATATTTTCCAGTTATTGCCTCCATAAGTCTTTAATAGTTGAGTTTTCAGACAGCCGCGCTGATTAAAACTTAATTCGCTGACACTTTAGAGAGGCAAATGTTTGAGTAGGGGGAGATTCCGCCGTGATTCTGGAAAAGGTTCTGCCAAGTTAATTACCAGTCAAGTAACCGAAAAAATGCTCACATTCTCCCCAACCCCCCAGCACAGTATCTTCCATTCTCAGGATGAACACACTCTAATCCTTTTTCTTATTCATTAAACCTGAGTCGGGCGAACATTCATAGCAGTCTGGAGTTTCCAGAGGGGAAAGTGTGAAGTCTGCAGCAGAGGATCATTTTGGCATACCTCAACCTGGGAGAGAAGATTTAAATTCCTCGGCTGAAACTACGCCTGTTAATTCTTGGGTCACACCTAATTCTCAGATGAATGTTACCCGAAAGAAGCCTCAAGACATAAAAAACTTCACAAATGGAAATAATGTGTTGCAGGTGCCAGATGCCCTCGCAGACATTTCTGTGAAAGTTTGCTGGAAGCCACAGAAATCTAAATTCTAATGCATTATGCAAACTGCACCTCGGGGGGTGGGGGGAACAGACAGACTGAGCTGCTAAGTTGGTTGGTAATTGCATCATACGACCAGCAACAACAACAACACAAACATTGATACATAAATATGACAGAGGACTGCAAACATACACAAACACACACACACCAAGAATATTACAACATTGATCTGATAACTGCCACGAAAGCAGTGCAGCGGCTATGATTCACATGATTATTGAGCTCAGGGCAGATGGATGGATGCGTTGGCGAATGGGTGAGGACAAGGATGGATGGTGTATTATATGTTTCATGGGCGTGTTGCTGACAGATGAGTTTGCCAAGGAGGTTTGCTGCAAAATCAATAGGTGAGGATGGTTGCAATGATCCTGAGTATTGATTGGTTTTGGCTAATATAAGGCCTTACTTGTGGTAGGGTCAGATGAGATTGGACGGAGGGGGCTGATCTAGGCTCATATGAGCAGGTGCTGATTTTTGTTGACAGTTTGACGATTTTCATGTGGTGTGTGTTTCTCCCACACAGGCAGCACCAGACACCACAAAGCATTGACTCGTAATTAGACTAGCTAATTACTTTTAATTACTCACTGGTGAAGCAAGGGTCTTGGAATAGATGGGTGGCATTTGGAAGTAATATGACTGCAGCAAACACCTCACGTGACATACATACAAAATGTACATGGATGGAAAGGTCACATAATGGAGTGGAAAATGTACAGGCAGAGTAATAGAAGCTACACAGCAACACAGACAGAGAATATAGGAAATGCCTAAAAAAAGCTGCATGATTAATGAGTATAATCAAGCTAAGACTCATACTCACCTCTACAGGTTTTGTACCTCACTTTCATTATTTTTTATTTCCTCATGATGAGGTCGATTGATGTTAAAATGGTCTAACAGTTTATTTTAGCTGAATAAATCTGGCCTAATGGAAATTCTGGTCATTTCTTGGTTGGTTGGACTGATGCAAAGGCCTGGTCATCTCTACAGATTTTGTAAATGAAGTTTACAGCTGCTGAAGTCGCTGTCTCTGTTATAGCGAGTAGCAACGAGGATGTTGTGGTATAAGGCTCATTTATCATTTGCACACATCCCATGATGCTTGATTACATCATTATTCAGTCTCACTTTATCTCAGTAAAGAAAGTAGAGTTGGCTGAGGCAACACTTCTACTCATAAACTTAATTTTTGGCGGTCATTTCTCATGTATCTACTATACCATACATATAGTCCAATACTTTTGTGAACTTTTGGTGAGCTAATTTCAGGCTTCAAAACAATTTCTCCACATGAGGAAAAGTCTATTTTTTTAAAAGAATTTCTAAGAACCCATTTAAATTTTCCTCAGTGTCCTGAAAAACCTGCAAAACACATTCGTATTATGCAAAATGCATGTGTCTGTAAAAGTCAAATTTAAGAAGACACCCAGAGGTTTTAACAGAGTTGAAAATTACAATGTTTGTCCGCTAGAATTACACCTGGAATTATAGTCTTGTTGGAGCAGAAGAAACTCTAACACAGCTCTTTTATCATCTTCAAACCTAGCCGAATGAAAATCTTAAATATTGCACATACTGAACAGAGAAAATTAAATCTTAATGGAAGTTTTTACAGCCAGCAACGAACATCTGTCAGCAGTGAAAGACATCCCAGTCATTATAAAAAAGAAAGTTTAAGCCAAGAATTCACAATCTTTCCTTATCAGATGAACTAAGCTGAAGCCCTCACGTAGCCTGAAAGTATTGAATAAGACAAACATTTTTATTTAAAGTCAAAGGCGACTGGCACTGCTGCCCTCCTCATCCTTATCACAGCTCAGAAAGCCCGGTAATTGAAAAGCAGATTCTGCACGCCCGTCGACACAGATGGCGCATCACTTTTCTGAATCAATAATAGGATTGTGGACCTCGCCTTTCAATAGCTTTTCTCAGCCACTCAAAGTGAAATGAAGAGACTAATTATTGCCGCTGATCTGAGTTTATTTGCCGTCCTTTGCGCTCCGGTCTGACTCAGGCCTCACGTGGCACCTTGACTCTGGCCTGATGGGAGCCAGCTCATTGCTAAGTCACACTCCTGAAGATGTGTGACTGTTCGAGCACTCAGAGAATGATGGTTACCTTCTGACATGCAAGATGACACCCAGAGAGAAGCCCTGAAAGGCAGGCTCTTCTCTGCCAACCACTAACATAGACCAGGCTCTTTACGCCCAACGTTGGATACATATATGGAAACAAATGGAGCCTTCTGTCCGTAATCTGCGATCATTTCATCCGTATTTGTGCAAGTCTACTGAAAGCTCACGGACATGGATGAAATTAAAGAAACGGAGCAGTACCACTGGTAATCATGGGGGGGCAGAGTCACTAATAGTTCAAGTGAGACAACCATAGGGCTCAAGGAAGAAATTACAACAATAACGGAGAACACACTACTGTTTATAATCGCGTTGGCCTCTGTGTTGCCGTCTAGCAGAAGTATTCCTTAACAACCAGCCAAAGTTAAGGACACATGCAAGTATGTGGGCAGAACAGCTCAATCATTTGAAACTGGTGTGCCTCTTTTCATACGTAAGAGGCAGCATTACTGAGTCTTTACACTCACTAACTTACATGAAGTTTAATATTTGTTGAAACTGTGTAAAACAATGTTCAGTCTTGGAACAAAAAGTCTCAACACCTGTTCCCTATTTAAAAAGTACATATTTAATATTTTCTGTGACCACCTCCGGCAAAGGTGCCACTAATCCCCGTGAAAGTGGCCTCTAATGACACACCCGAAAGCACAAGTGAAAAAAGTTCCCTATGTACCTGAGAGCCGAGAAAAAACAAGCCAGTGTCATGCAAACAGATACAGCGCTTTAGTAAATGTGTTTTCAAATCTGCATGAGCAAGCGCATGATGTCAGTTAATTAATGTTTAAAATATTGTATATATAACCTTTAATAAACATGGAGCTGTTTAAATATATTGCACTGCTAAAATATTGCAGTTGTGGGAAATGAGACGAATCATTCTCACCCATAAAATAGGTGATGGTCTTGCACATGGAGGCCCCGAAGATGAAGTCCTCTAAGATGTTGGGGATGAGGGTGAAGGGCATGCAGAAGATGGCCATCATCAGGTCACTGACCGCCAGCGACAGCAGGAAGCAGTTGGTGACGGTCCGCATGCGCTTGTTCAGCATCAGGACCACAATGATCAGCAGGTTGCCGAAGACGCTGAGCAGGAAGATGAGCACATAGAGCAAGATGCGCAGCGAGTCCATCTCTGTCAGGGACACAGGGACAGAGGCAGGACGTCATTTATAACTTGTGTCTGTATCTACTTCAGCAGATCAATTAGAGGAAGGAAGCGAATTGAAGGAAGTGAATTACCAAGTACGCAGCTTTGAATTAATGGACATAAATTAGGAAACATCATCTTGTTTCAATAAAATCCCTCATTAAGAAAGAGTGGGAACTTTTTCTTGCAAACATAAGAGACAGAATATCTTTCATTAGCCTGGGAACAGTATAAAACAAAGATAAAGAAGAAGTGGAAGAACAAATAAAAGAAGCAGATGAAGATCAGTGCATCTACTGAGCCGGTTGTTTCATCAAGTCCATCGACCTCCAACAGATTCTAAGCAGAATTAGTTTAAAATCCTCATCTGTATGCAGGAGTCAACACTTGTAATCATTCAAGCAACCAGTAAATTAAATCTAAAATAATAAAGTAAGAAAGGCAAGGAAGAAAAAGGTCAAAAAAACGGAATAACATCAATACGAGAACAAATTGTATCCAGCTATTCACCTGGGAAATAAATAAAGCACATGAACAACACGAAAGCCTATTACCAGACAGAATAACTTTGCATGATCTGAAATTTGTGCTAGTATCAATACTTTCCAGCTCATCCCGTGAAACGAACAATGATTGAAATAATCATAGTGAGAAAAAGAACACAACAAGATCATAAGAGTTGAACAGAACGTGTCAGGTGCTAACCTGGGAATACAACTTAAACTGGAAAAACAAGATCAAAATTAAACAGTTCTCTTCTTATTTGAAGAGGCAAAGAGCAGCTATTTATTCATCATCTGGCATTCTCTTATTAGGATACGATACGGATATGATGCAGTACAGTACAGCACCAGATAGGAAAGGATAGGATTCTGTACAGTCCGATACGATGCGATACAAGACACCAAAACCTAATGTCCCCTTACAAATAGTACAGACAGTAGTAGTAGTACAACAGGCAAGAGAAAATCACATGTCTCAAGGCAATACAAGATAAGAGGAAAGCCCAGCAGCATCTGTTAGGAAGTTTATTATTACTAAGAAAAAGAGGCTTGACCAAACCATGGCCCCCCCATTAATACAGCTCTAAACCCTTCCCTGCACAGAAATACTCGATGTCTCCTCTTCTAAAATACTGTAAGTGTGTTTTATATGGATACCTTCATTCAGAGGTGCCATACAGCTGACCGGCTGCAGGACGGTCCAGCCAGAGGGTTTTTGGGACACTCCCTTCACTCACACTGGCCTGTCACAGCCATTCTGCTTGAGAATGAGAGTATTTGACAGGACAAGGTCGGGGCCGGCCATGTGCTGCACTGAATGAGTCGGCTGATTAAAGACAGCGACATGGGAGAAGTGTAGAGATCCGCAGCAGAGCCTGCAGACAGACACACATGCTAACACACGAGGAGCGGAGCTGCTGTTCACATTGTTATCGCTCATATGTGGGCATTTAAAATGTTTGGTTTTTTTGAGTCACAGTGAGTGGGGAACCAAAGAAACGGCGTGTTAATGATGCATCTATTTTTATTTTCATAATATCCTATTCTCCTCCTACACAGAGACATGACTTGAATCTCAACGCTTTGAAAATAAAAATATATGTGAAACATAATGATGAACTGCAGTATTCTTAAAATAATACTCATAAAAGTACGTGCCTATTTTGCTACTGCCAATGCCTAACAGCCCCCTTATGAAACCACATTTACATTCACTAGATTTCTATTGTTGTCTTTAACCTTTGATCGATCAGCTCCAAAAGTGAATCATCTGGAGATACTCTCCTAAGTAATATTCCTGCCATGTTTGGTGAGAATCTGTCCATGCATTGTTGAGTTATTTTGCACACACAGACTATGCCGTGCTGAGGAAACGTAAGTAGTGAAGTCATAATTTTTTATTTATTTGACAATCTCCAGAGGAACTAGGCAGCAAAGATAAAATAAAAAGAGGTCCAGGTTTGAGGACAAATCGGGGTTCAAGTTAATCACCGCTGCCACCTCAGAGACCCACATGCCCTACACTGCAAATATAAATTATTCCTTTGATAAGAAAACTCTCTGATGGTTTCGGGAGCAGTTTCATCAGCTGAAGATTGACACCACTTTCAAGTCAACATAAGACAACACCCATATCCTGTTTCAGTTAGAAAACAATACATCTGCAAAACAGCTAGGTGACAAGTTTTTGATTTGATTTACTCAACAGAATGCTGTGAGGTACGCATAACCAGAGCTAAATTGCAAGCGCTCCAACACAAACACCAAGAGGTGAGCTCGCTCCTCGTTTCTGCTACTGTGTTGAGATTTTGAGCAATCCAGTCAAGTGAAAATGGAATTATCTATTCATTGAGCACCAACAGTATGTCGGCTCCCCTGAGCCTGGCAACTGCAGGACAATTCACTTTGGTTGCTTTGACTCTCTCAAGCGTGACAGCTAAAGCTCTACAGATAAAAGGGCAGCGTTCACCTTGGAGACGCTCGTGAGCAGCAGGAGCCGTCCAACGAGGAGCGTTTCAGCCATGAGCTGAGAGATCAACACTTGTGAGTATGTGAGGGTTGCGTATATTAATTTAACTTCTGCTCCATTTTTGCTGCTTATCCGATTGGCTGCCACTTAAATTGTAATTATGATTCCCCACAGGGATCATTAAAATTTCATCACATCACTTTCTTCTTATCTGTGGGATAGGATTAGCAGGGTTTTGTTGGCACAGCAAAGTCATTTGAAAACTTTTTACTGGGGTGTTTGAGTATTTTTCATCACTTAATTGATGGAGTTGGAGTCCAATAATGAGACATGAATAAATCCTCACTAAGGTCATTAATATTGAGCGGTAATGACCTTAGAAGTGATGTGATTGCAAAAAAAGAGCAGCAGTTGTAAGCCGATCCTTTTGATCACTACCTCACCACTGGGCTGTGTTCCGTACCAGGCCCCCTGAGATTATTAAATATTCCAGACAGTTAGAAATGACTGTCAGCTTCGTCCAAATCTGATGTTATTGGTAAGTACAGGGGAGCAGAAAACCCTTTGCAACAGATGGAGTCAGAAAATGAGTCCTGAACTTGGGGGAGTAAGCAGACGACTTCTTCCACTACAGCGCCCTTTGCTGAATTTAAACTGCAACTTATGATTATTCCACTCGTTGATTATTATTGATCGAATATCCAATTTTTCTTGAACGTGCTTGTTTTTCCCACTGGTCGTCCCATATTCACAGCTATACTCAGTTGACATTGACATAAAACAGAAGAATAAACCAACCAAACCAATAATAGGAGGCTGTACACATTAAAAGACTGGGCTGTTTAAAGAATGATCTTTGGCCTCACATATGAGTGGCCTCCATGTTCATCATCAGCTGCTGAAATCTCTGGAAAAAGCCAATAAGGGAACCCTGAGTTCAAATTTTTATTCATTACAATGTCATATGAATGTTTTGCCTCCAGAACGACTAAATGTGTTAACTAAGCTTTGTGTGGCAGCAGAGATATTCCAGACATCAGTCTAATATCATTAGATTTACCAGATGACTATTGTGTTTTTCCTCAAAGGGGAAAAACATCCTAAAACTAAATTGTGATTTTAATTACAGAGTTTCCCTCAAAGTCAGAACCATGAGAGAGAGAAAAAGATTTTTAACATTTCCCCACATGAAAGAATATTATCTCTCTCTGAAGGTGAGAGGATTTTGGTTCTTATAAAACCTACAATGTACAACTGTATTTTTGAACAATCTCAATGTCATCCCACACGGTCGAGGATTTTTGGATGGTTGGATAAAAGAAAAATCTGATTCTACCCTCTGTATGTCAAGATAAGAATAATAAAGTGTACAAATTATCAATTATAGTGTGTGAAACTGAACATGATGAAAACTAGCTCAGACCAAATTCCAAGCACATGATTTGCCTTTAATTAGACATCAACATTTGTTTTCTCATAACCATTAATGGTTGGTGTTTACAAGACAGTTCAATCTAATCAAGTAAACACTACAGATTGTGAATAAAGCCTGACAAACATGTTAAGTGCAAATGTTTCCTTCGAGTAAAACATTTCCTCCAATGGCTGACAGAGTATTAGAGCCAATTAAAGGGAAAAAAATCTGACACTTTATCATCATCATCAGAAGACCAGCCTGTATTAAAATGTAGAGCATCTTGTTTAGCTTTACTTAAGCAGAAGTTTAATATATTACAAAATATTTTATTTTTGTAGCTTCACATTATCACCAGTATCAGAACTTTGAAAATATTGTGAAAGAAACTGAGTCTATTTTGAAGAACACACAGAAGCAAATTGCCTCTTTAGTGGTCGACTGTGAGGTTTTTGTTGGTTACATCTGTGTGCTGTTTGAAGAGCTTTTGTAATTTCTCAAGAAACAATGAAACTAGTTCCAGATTTTGGATCCAGAAGGAGTAGAACTTCATAAAAATGTTTTGTTCTTTATTCTGGAAATATTATGATTTTTTCTTGTAAAATTACAATGTTATTCTCAATTAAGACTACATTCTTGTAATGTTATTACTTTATTCTTGAAATCACGCCAAAAAATGTATTCAATATGACCCTAATACTCTGTTGAACCTTGCTGGCTATTTCATAAATTATTTATTTTCTTTTTCTTAAAATATTTGAATGAATTGAATTTATCACCAATACTCTCTCATTAAATGTATTCTGGAAATATTATTACTTCATTCTCAGAATCTCAGAATTGATTTTTCTTAAATATGGCCATAATACTACTAAAATAGGATAAGCCCTATTGTTGCTTTGCCCTCGTCATGGCTACTCAAATGCTGCCTGTATGTTTGGAGAGTTGACAACATTGACAACATGTCTTATATCCCTGAAGGATTCAATCAAAAAATAGGGACTGTGCTTTTGACCTTCCCTCCATTTTCATTTCAATCTACAGAGGACAAGCTCAATCACTGAATACCAAGACTGATTCACCTTGCAGGCACCTTGTG